AATATTTGGTCCAACTCCTCTGACAAAAACTTCGAGACACCTGAGCCTAAGGCATTAAGAGCCGCTGCCAGCTGCGACTGATGTGCTGCTTGCGCTTCGTCTCGTTTGAGAGCGGATGTGGACCCCTTCAAGGTCGGAAATAATAATTTATTTAGCTTCGGCGGCCCTAATATCGAGAGATCCCCCTTAACCTCGTGCTCGGTGAGAAGTTTTGACCTCAGAGTGTCCGGAAGACCCTTGAGAACAGTGTCACGAGCAAAAACGAGCGCCGTCTGGTCCCACGTCGCGCGTATAGAGATCAAGAGAGACGACTCATCTCTTCGTCCGCTCGATTCGTACGATTCGCGATTATCTTTTTTAGCGCGTGTCCGAACTCGTTCGAGGTCGCTCTCGTCGTTTCCTCCTTTTGTTTTTTTCGGAGGATGCGGCGAGCGGTTGTCGTCATTCCGGGAAAGAGCGTATCCGGCAGGGGTACGTCCTCTGTTGAGATAACGAACGGGGTATAAATTGAACGGGCGCGCGAACGGCGCGGCAAAAACGGACAAATGTATCGAGGGAGAGTGGGCGCGACAGCGTAAAGCACATTGGAATAGTATAAGTTAATGTGTTTGTCTCTCTCTTAACGCAATATGAGCGACGAGTACGCAGAACTTTGCGGACCGGTGTGGGTGAAAAACAGAAATCCGAAACCGCTCGTGAAAATCAGCGAACCGCTCGCGAGGAATGTGAATCCGTACGCGTTCGCGATGGCGTCGGATCCGCGGCGCGTCGACGTAACGAGATATCTGATCCGTCGCGAAATTGGAATAGCAGATTTCCGACCGCAGCGGACGTATCTCTTTCATGATATAGTTTGGGAAAGACCAGCGAGACGCGTCGGTAATTACGTGTGTAATGATTTTGACGCGTTTAAGGCGTTATGGGACTCTTTAGATGGGCGAGGTGAGGAGTATTGAAACAAAGACCCTCATTGGTTCAGCGATTAAACATTAGCGATGCGTACTCGCGAATGAACGATCGCCGTTATCACTCGTCCGCGGAATCGGACGACGAACTGCGCTGTCGCGAGCCCATGCCCAAGTTTTCGTCCGATTCGGACGACGAATCGGCGAGGGTCGAAACACCGATGTCGTCAAACGTGCGCGCGTCGGTGGTGAAAGAGGAAGCGCGATGGAATCTGGCTACCTATCATCTGCGAAGGGAAATCGCAGTGCGAACTGTTCGCGAGCGAGAGTGGATAGAGACGACGGTGGCAAACTCCGTTAAGGCGAGCGATTATACGCGTTGCCTGCCGCTCGAGTATTATCTTTATTACGAGACGGTGTACGGAGGAGAGAGGATACGTTGTGACCGGACGTCACTCTCTGGGTGCGTGGATCACACGAAAATGTGAAATCTCAGCCAGATTTGCCTATCAAACGGTCGCCACTCGATTTGACCTTGATATACCGAGAAGGTAAGTATCGAAATTATAGCACGATATTGCAACAATACTCCATTAATTCTCTTTTATTTTCAGGTTCTCGACGCAGGATGTCTCGACAACCCGACGCTGCCTCCCCACTGCTGGATCATCGATGGACAACGTGGGACCACCCATGACGGACCAGGTAAGTAGAAAATGCGTATGTTTAATTAATCGGCTAATTTCCTTTTCAGCTTTTCGCCCCGGATGGATCTCAACTGCCGCTGACTGTCCCAGATCCTTGCCTTATCGCATACTGGAACGCTGCTGGACAACGATAAATCGATGCCGTATGACCTTTTCGCCCCGGATAGATCTCAACTGCCGCTGACTGTCCCAGATCCTCGCTTTATCGCATACTGGAACGCCGCTAGACAACGATGGATCGATGCCGTAGGACAAGGTAAGTCGCAGGTAAGTAATTCAAATTAACTTGACACTGCGTATATTAACAAACGATTGATTTATTTCAGATCGTCGTAGTTGATTACAAAATTGTCGCGCCGTATGCGCTTCACGCTGACACTTTTCGTCGAACGTTGTTATAATTGGTAATTAATTACCGCTCGCAATAGTTATACGAGTTATGTTTAACACGCAAGTACGCGGGAGTGCTTGGTTGTATTATATCGTTGCGCTAAACTACGCGCTAAGTCCGTATTGTATGAGCGAATCTTGTATACGTGTTACCACGACCACGATATCCGAGCGACTGCCTCGAGTTGCCGGGCTCTCTCGGCCTTCCCACCTCGGGATCTTTGCTCCCACCATGGGTTGTTATTCACATCTCGGTACTTTTCCACGCCAGATGTTGCCCGCTTTCTCTTTTCTTATGGCAGTTTTTGCCTGTTTTCGCGTTCGGTGTCGCCCGCGGTTCTCAATCCGATCTTAAGAATTAATCGCACGCATACGCCTGGGTCCTCCTGGACCCCGCTCACCTGGTTCTCGGGTTCGAGGATTATACGATCAAGTGGTCTCGCTGACCCCTCGGATCTTTCCCGGCGCCTCCTCCAGTGACCCTCCGTCCCTACTTCCCTCCGGATTATCGCGGTTCCCGACTTCCGGGGGTCATTGCTTGACCCCGCTATCTTCGCGTCCGGTAGTACTATCATGTCGCGAGTCGGTCGGTTGACTTTCGGGTCCCTCCTGGGAAGGACTCTGCGGCTGTGCTCGACCGCCGGCTGTGACCTCCGTACCCCTAGTCGCGGGGGTCATTGTTATGACCCCGCGATCTCCGCGCCCGTTGGCATTATCGCGTCGCGGTTCGGTTGGTTGACTTTCGGGTCACCCCTGAGACGGATTCCGCGGCTCGGCCCTCGGCTGTGACCGCCGTACCCCTCTGCGCGGGGGTCATTATTGTGACCCCGCGATCTCCGCGCCCGGTGGTATTGGCGCGTCGCGGGTCGGGTGGTTGACATCCGGGTCACCCCTAAGACAGATTCCGGGGTTCGGCCCCCGGCTATTACCGTTGTGCCCTCGTTCGCGGGGGTCATTATTTTGACCCTACTATCTCGCGTGCACTTTGCTCGATTCTCGCCGCGATTGTCCCTATTTACTCCGCTCGGCTCTCCTGCCAAGGCCCGCTCGTTGTCTCGTTCGGTTCTTCATCTACGGCTCGCCTGCCGGGGTCAGTCAGGCCCCGGTTCCCTTATTCGTCGCGTCGCTATATTTTCAGATTAACGCTAGCCATATGGGCTCTTCGGACTCGCTTATCCGGTATTTAGCCTAAGAAAATATTGATGTCCGCTGCTCCCTTGGTCTCTGCTGCCCCTCGGGTGTCCTCGGCTCCACGGCTATGCGAACGGTTGCAACGTCGGATTCAAACCACCGAGTCTCGTCGTCTTTTCGATCGAGTGAAATTCAGTGTTCCCGAGGGTGAACCCTTCAGGACGCGATGCGACGAGTTGCTCGCCGCGGACGTCCGCCACGCGGACGGGTACCGCGCGTGGAGACGACGATGCGACGAGTGTCTCCGGCTCCTGCGGGAGGAGTGTTGAGTCAAACGCTCTGGGAAGCGAGGAAACACGGGAGCCGTGACCGCTGTGGTGGCTCTAATAGCGCGATTGGAAGGTTCGAGGGAGGATCTGCGTCGACGATTCGAACGCGCCGTAGGTGCCGGCTTGGATGGAGGGGGCGGCGGTAGCAGCAGCGGCAGAGGTTTCTCGTGGATCGAGATCGATGCGGCGTTCCAACGTCGCGTACTGACCGGCGCCGTGACGAACTCGACGTACATCGAGCCCGCGCGATTTCTCGACGATGCGAAGGGCACCGTGCTTGAAAAGGTGCGGGATAATATGACCGGACACGGGTATCAGAAGGTCAACGTCATATTCAATGAGGAATTCGTAGCGGACGTTAAAACCGATGTGAAGAGTATCGGTACGCGGAACGAACAGCTCCTCCCAAGGTCCGATTTGGGCGAGTGGTACGATAGGCACGTGCGCGACGTGATTCTAACGCGGTTGGACGAATTTCAGGAACGCGACAGCGGATGGGCGTTGTCGCGAATATTGAACCTAATCGTGACCGTGAACAGGTGTAATCCCATGCGCGTGGGATGTTGGATGAAATTACCGCTAGGTATAAGACTTAAAAAGGCGGTGGTCAACGTGCGGTCGGAGAACGACGCGTGTTTCGCGCGCGCGGTGGTTGCTGCTCTGTATCCCACCAAGCGGAACGCGGAACGATGCGGCTCGTATCCCGATTACGCGACGGTGCTGAATCTCGACGGGATCGCTTTTCCCATAGATCTGAAAAAGATCGGAAAATTCGAACGTCAGAACGACGTATCGATCAACGTGTTTACAACTCGGGAAAGAATTGAAAAGTAATCTAAGTTTGGATGGGGCGCCGACGACAACGCGATCGTGCCTCTGCGGTTAACCGACGATAAGAGGGACATGCACGTAAATCTCCTGTATCTACGCGATACGCTACACGGCGTCAACCGGGGCTGTTTCGCATGGATAAAGAATCTGTCGCGATTGGTGAATTCGCAATTGACTGCGAAACGGTGCGCGAAGCACGATTGCGATCGGTAGGTAAAAGAAATAAAATAAAAAAACATGAGGAACAAGGAAACGACGAGGTGTTCATTTATATACGCATAATAATCGCACGCACGTTATTTCGCAGATGTCTACACTATTTCTATACGCGCGATAAGTTGGCCGCCAACAGCGTCGACTGCGGCCGAATGAACGACTGCGCCATCGTTCTTCCGAAAGAGGATGATAAGTGGCTGTCGTTCGACAATCACTTCAGAAAGGAGCGACTTCCTTTCGTGGTGTACGCGGATCTGGAGCGTCTTCTCGAACAACGGGAGAGGGAGAATGCCTAAGGGGGCGCGAGAACGGAAAGATACGCTTATCAGCGTCACGTGCCGTTCAGCCTGAGCTACTATCTGTGCTGCACCTACGACGATACCGCGTCCGCGTACAGATATCGTCGCGGCGAGAATTGCGTTTCGTGGTTCGTGAACAAGCTTCGCGTTCTCGCGCATCGCGTTAAGAATAAAATTTTCACCAATATAGCGATGGTGGAGCTTACGGAGGACGAAAAGCGCGAATTTTGGCTCGCGACTCATTGTCACGTGTGTGGGAAAGCGTTCCAGCCTGAGGACAAGCGCGTGCGAGATCACTGTCACCTAACCGGACGCTACAGAGGTCCGGGGCATTCTCGTTGCAATCTGAATTACAGAAACGTGATTTCCGTGTTCTTTCACAATCTGTCGGGTTACGAAGCGCACTTCATCGTCGAGAAAATCGCGAACGATTTCGAGGGCGGAGTCGATCTGCTGCCGCTCACGAAGGACAGTTACATATCTTTCTCGAAGACCGTTAAAGAGACGCAGACGGACGGGGGATCGGATCGGAAGCTTCGATTCGTGGACTCGTATAAATTTTTAGCAGCGAGTATCGAAACCCTGGCGTTCTATGTAAACAAGGACAAGCTGAGAATAACGCGTTCGGAGTACGCGGATTTGAGCGCGGAGGATCTTGATCTGCTCACTCGCAAGGGAGTATTTCCGTACGAGTACGTCGACAGCGCAGACAAACTGCGGGAGACCGAGCTTCCGCCGCGCAAGGTCTTTTACAGCTCCTTGACCGACGAGACCGCGAGCGAGAGCGACTACGAGCACGCGATGAGGGTCTGGCGACGTTTTCGCGTGCGAGATCTCGGTGAGTACAGCAATCTGTATCTCAAGACCGACGTGCTTCTTCTGGCCGATATATTTGAAAATTTTCGGGACGCATGTTCAGCGAGTTATAAGCTTGAACCCGCGCATTACTACACGTTGCCGGGGTACACGTGGGACGCCATGCTGAGGTACACCGGCGTGCGTTTCGAGCTGCTCACCGACATCGACATGGTACTGTTCGTGGAACGCGGCGGCCTCAGTCAATGTTTGCTCAGGTACGCGCGAGCCAACAACAGGCACGTACCGACGTGCGTACGACTCGTCCCAGCCCACTACGTATCTCATGTATTACGACGTGAACAATCTGTACGGATGGGCTATGAGCGAATCGTTGCCGTACGCGAATTTCCAATGGCTCGACGACCCTGAGAATTTCGACGTGACGACCGTGCCGGCGGACAGCGACGTCGGTTACATTGTGGAGGTGGATTTCGAGTATCCGCGGGACCTGCACGACGCCCACGCGGATCTACCGTTGTGCCCGACGCGCGACAAACCGCCCGATAAGCGGCAGGAGAAACTACTCGCTACTCTCTACGACAAATCGCGCTACGTGACGCACTATCGAAACCTGCAGCAATGTCTGCGATAGGTATGCGTCTGACGCGCGTTCGTCGCGTTCTGCGATTCACCCAGTCGCTGTGGCTTCGCGTCTACATCGAGCTGAACACCACGCTTAGGACGCGCGCGAGCAACGAGTTCGAACGGAATTTGTACAAACTGATGAACAACGCCGTCTTCGGCAAGACGATGAAGAACGTGCGCGATTACGTGGACGTGCGTCTCGTGACGCGATGGGACGGGAGATACGGCGCGGAGGCGATGATCGCTAAGCCGAATTTTCACAGCAGGAGCGTCTTCTCGGAGAATCCGGTCGCGATCGAGCTGCGAAGGCTCGAGGTAAAATTCAACAAGCCGGTCTACGTGGGTATGTCTATTCTCGAGATATCCAAGACGCGTCTCTACGAGTTTCACTACGACTACATGGTGCCGTTGTATGGCGACCGGTGTCGAATTGCTTACACGGATATGGACAGTCTGATCTATTCGCTGGAGTGCGAAGACGCGTACGAGTGTATGAGACGCGACATACACAGGTTCGACACGAGCGATTACGCGGAGAATAACGCGCACGGTATGCCGCGCGTCAACAAGAAGGTGCCCGGTTTGATGAAGGACGAGAACAACGGCGCGATCATGACGGAGTTCGTGAGCCTCAGAGCAGCGAAGATGTACACTTACAAGGTACTCGGACGCGACGACACCAAAAGAATAAAGGGCGTTAAGAGAAACGTAGTCGCGAAGAGGATCACGTTCGAGGATTACGTGGCGTGCCTGCGGTAAGCGCGCGAGCTAAAGACGCCAGTCGTGCATACGCTCGACGCGGCACGAGGTTTACACCGTGTTGGAGCAAAAACTAGCCCTCAGTCCGCACGACGACAAGCGATACGTGACGTTGAACAGCGAGGAAACGCTTCTGTGGGGACATTACGAAATACCGTTGTAAAAAAAAAACAATATTATACGCTTTAAAAAATGTTTTATCGTAAAAAATCAATAACACGTAAGAAACAAACCAATAAATGTGTAAACTTTTATTAACAATAAAGTACGCGTTGCGCGTGTCTACGAATGTCTAAGTATTTCTCTTTACAATACAGACGCCTTATCTATCCACGAATTGTGCGAACTGTCCATCCCCAGCCACTTCACGAACGCTCGTTTGCCGCGCTTACGCAGGACTTTTTCCACGAGATAGACGTCGGGATTGGAGACGCGTAGCAACTCGTGTTCGTAGAATCCTCCGGCTATCGCTTCTCTGCGAACGTCTTTCAGCAGATACGTAACGGAATTGGTCCTTTGTACTTTAGCTATGCGAAAGATCTCGGTGATCCAATTGGGAGTGTAGCCTTTTTTGAAAATCGTTTTGAATTTGCTCACGCGCACCGGATCGTCGACTCGAAATCTCGCCGGCGCGGCTATCTTCGCGCGACTGTACACCGTGCGCAGCAGTTTTTCGGCGACGGTGGGCGTCACGTCCGCCGGACGCATTTGGATCGTTCTGTGTCTGCGACGATTGTAATTTGACAAGAGGCGCGGTAACGAGTCTATCCATCTGTACGATCCCTGGAGCGTGAAGAGCTTCCACATGTCGTTTTTCAGCGTGCGATTGAATCTCTCCACCACCGACGCTTTCATGACCGAATACGTGGAGTAGTGATTCACCTCGTGCTCGTCGAGGATTTTGCGCACGTCGGCGTTGTAAAATTCCTTTCCTTTGTCCGTTTGCAGATTCCTGGGGTGTCGCGCATCCTCGTGAAAGATCTTTCGGAGAGCCGTCACGACCTTCTTTCCGTTCTTGCTCTTGAGCGGGATTGCCCAGGCGTACTTGCTCAGCACATCGATGACCGTCAGAATGCAATTGTGACCCGCGTTTGCGCGCGAATGAGGGCGCATCTCGACCACGTCGGCCTGCCACAGGTCGTCGTAACCGCGCACCACGACGCGGCGGCGAGGAAAGTTTTTTCGCGCCGGCGCGTGCAGTTCTTCCACGAGTCTACGTTTTTCCACGCTCATTTTGTTTGAGAAGCTTTAAAACAGTCTTGATTGCGATGATTTCAACCTCGTGCTTATCTATGGTATTTTTCACAGTAACGTACTGGTCTTTACATTCTTTTATCGCGTCACTCAAAGTCTTTTCGAGTTCCGCGATCGCTCCCTCGACGAAGCTCCTGTTGGCCGCGTCGACGCCGACCTGCGGCGCGGCTACGCGTCGTATTTTGCGCTCCGACGCGTCGTAGGAATCCTGAGCGTTCAAACGAAGCGCGACGTTTTCCAGCGTCGCGATTCCGCCTCCCAATTCTCTGATCGCGTTGTTATTCTTGATCTCTTCGATTAAAATGCTTTTGAGCTCCCCGATCGCGCCCTCTACGTAGCTCCTGTTCGTCGCGTCGGTGCCGATTTCCGGCGAGGCTACGCGCCGTATCCTGCGCTTCCTCGCGTCGTAGGATTCCTCGTCCAAACGGAGCGCGTCGTTCTTCAGCGTCGCGATTCCGCTTCTCAATTCTTTGGTCCTGTTTTTCTTCTCGATCTCACCGGTCACGACTTTCTTGAGCCGTTCGATCGCGCCATCTACGTAGGTCTTGTTCGCCGCGTCGGTGCCAATTTCCGGCGCGGCTACGTGTCGTATCTTGTGCTGATCCGCTTCGTAAGAGTTTAAACGAATGAGGAGCGCTGCGTCCCTCAACTTCGTTATTATCTCCACCGCTGTTATTCTACCGTTCAATTTTTTGGTCGCGCTTTTCTTCGATCGTCCGATCGCGTCCTCGACGTAACTCCTGTTCGTCGCGTCGGTGTCGATCTCCGGCGCGGCTACTCTTCGTATTTTGCGTTCCCTCGCGTCGTAAAAATCCTCGCTCATGAAGAGCGCGTTGTTGCGCGCGTAATTGCGCAGGGACTCGATCGAGGAGTGCAATTTCACCGTGGACGCACCGTCGACTCTGTCACCGCTGCCCCGATTCGTCAGAGACATGCCGAATTTGTTCACGGACATCGCGCTGGCGGGCGCGCGATTCGCACTGCCGTCGCGACCGACGCGACCGATCAATTTATGACGAAGCCGGCCTCGCGAAGTTCCTCGATTATCGGCAGGATTTCGTTGTCGTGAGCGTCGTTGCCGGCCCGACGAGAGGCGTCCAGCAGTCGAAGTCTATCGACCAGCTCGTTGGGATCGTCCCAGTGAACGTAATCGATAGCGTTGTCGGTCAGTCGCATGGCCGACGGTAGCCCGGCACCCTTCGTAGTTCCAACTCTGTAAGACAGGTTTACGAGCGGCGCTATTATATTTATGTACTTCGGTCTCTTGTTGCCCTTAACGGGATTGTCGGCTTTGCTGCCGCGTTTGTGAGCGCTGGTGGAGAAAAGTATACTCCTGTACGTTAGTTTGTCCTTCTCCGTATAGATTTTAGCGTCGGGTTTTCCCATGAAGATGAACTCGTACAGGCCGCGCGAGCCTTTGTACCGTACACCGTCGATGACCATGGAGTCATCCGCGTTCAGCTTGAATCGCTTGTTACACAACATCGTGCCGTTCTCGCCGAAATGCACTCCGTAAACGGTGTCGATCTCCTTGTTTTTGTCGCCGCCCAGAAGAGCACCCAAGTATTCCCGCCCTAACGGTCCTAGTTGGCTATTCAGAGCGTCGCGACCTTCCGCCGTACTCAAAGATTTCCTGACGGACTTCTCCAACGTGGGAGGCGGAGTCGTCGTCTGCTAGACGATCTCGCGTTCTCCGGGTAAAAACTGGACCGAATCGTCGCGGATCAGCGTGGAGCTCATCGCGGTCGTCGTTGCGTGAGCCGAATTCAACCGTGCCGGACGCGACTCTTTTTTTCCGCCGTCGTGGTTGTCCTGATTGGCGCGAATACGTCGTCGTCGTCCTCTCCGTAATCGCGCTCCAGGTCGGCGCCAGCATCGTCGTCGTCGTCGTCGTCGTCACCGTTCTCGCTGTCCTTCTTCGCTCTCTTCGTCGCTTTCATCTTTTTCGCGAACGTAAAGCCAGCGCCGTCGTCGTCGTTAATCTTGCCCGGCCCTTTACCTCTACGTTCCACGTCATCGGCGAGCCGTTTCAGAGGTTTGACAATAGTTTGATTTCCGACCCTGAGAGCGGCGTTTTTCCTGCAAATCGAGGCGCGCGTCTTGGCTATCTCTCGCGCGGTCCTCTCTTCCGCGATCGCGCTCATACTCGCGTCGTTCAGCGAGGCGCACTGATCGGCTAGTCGTGGAAGCCCCGTCTGTACCGTCCGCCTCGCACGCGCTGTCCTTGTTTATCACGGCGAAACCGTAGGTGCGCCGCCAACACTCGCGACAGAAGACGCGAAACTCGTCGTACGACATGTCGATGTTCACGTGATCGTCGTACACGTGTCGCAGATTGGTGCCGTCCTGCCTGAAGAGGATCAGCAGATTTGCGTTGTCGCGCACGAGATGTTTCGGTATCTTGGCGTACGTCTGACAGAGATAAAAGCAATCGATATTCGAATGTCTGCCCATAGAAAAGTACTCCCTCATTCTGTCCTGCTTGTCGCAGGCCGAAGACGAAAACTGAGTCGGGAAGCGCCTTGTCGGGCGGAACGACGTCGCGATTGTCGGAAAACGCGTGATAGCCGATCTCGTCTATAGGCTCGAACAATTGTTCGAGGTATCGATACTTCGGTTGTTGCAGAGATTTCGAGTACACGTATACGTTCTCGAAACGGAGACCGTGCGGTTGTTCCAGCAGGCTCAGCAGAACGTTCGTCTTACCGCAATTGGAGAGACCGCAAATGATGCAACGGACGACGTTCGGAAGGAGAGGACCGTGCCGGCGCGATTCTCCGTTTCCTCTCTCGGTCGCGCCCGACCCCGCCAACGTTTTGCGATCCAGATTCGAGACTCCTAACGTCGCCGCGTCTGTCGCACGAATCGCATGTTTGCCCTCTCTCTCTTTCTCTCTCGGGTTTTTTCCGCGAGCGCGATTTCCGCTCGGTTCGTTCGCGATGAGTCTCTCGATCGCCGGAAAAAGGGAGGGAAGCGCGGACGTCGTTTCGTTTCGTCGCGCGTGCGCAAACGCCTCGCGCGCGGGTATAAGTACCGCGAGCGTGTTGCTTTATCCGTACAAAAAAATTAATCTAAAAGCAACGAATCGTTCGCGCGCATCGGTGAAATGTCTCACAACCGTGTGTTTCCCATACTGGTGGACAGTTACGACATTCTCAATCTAACGGTGGAGGAGTTGCAATTCGTTCCGAAGGTCATTCTGTTGCGTCAATTTGGGAAATACGTGCACCTGTTGTGGGACCGTTGCCGGAACATATACAAGGGGATCCCGAGGTGCAGAGATATCGCCCGTGCATGCAACACTACAATCGTCCGTGGCAGCGAACGCACATAGACGGTCCGCCGCCGCTCATCAAAGACTGCCACGAGTGCAATCGCTTTCCCCCTATGAGTCATCGACTTCCCGTTTGAAGTAAGAAGAAATAAATCCTTCTCCCGCAACCGCGACCGAATGCGCGGCACCGGTCTACTCAATCGCGCAATAAAAGCTCTTCCTTTCGAGCTGCACATACCCGGTTATCAGTTTTGCGGGCCCGGTACGCGTCTAGCAAAGAGACTAGCGCGCGGCGAAGAAGGCATCAATCCGTTGGACGCGGCGTGTCGAAAGCACGACGTCGCGTATTCGCGAAGCGGCGAGCTCGCCAGGCGACACGTCGCCGATCGACGGCTCGCCGAGGGGGCGCACGAGCGCGTCATCGCGAAGGATTCCACGGCCGGTGAGAGACTCGCCGCGGCGGCCGTATGGG